CGCGTTGCACAATACGGCGAAAGCAATTATTTTCAACGGCGCTCGCTCGTGAACGGAAAAGCAAGCAACCAAACGAGAGCGGCAAGCGAGATGACGCGCTACGACCGTGACGTGATTTCGTCGGCGCAACATTACGTTTTGCCTTTGTGCATATACATTCGAATGTCAGCCAAACGTGATGCGAGTTCGCGCGCTTTTAACCGTTTTGCTATGAGTTTCGGTATGAATACGCATGGATTATATGTTTTTTCTTTTTTTTTTTATAAATAAAAAAACAAACAAACAAAATCGATACACGCGCAAAACTGCGTAATCGTTGAAAAAGGTAAACCAAATACGACGCGAGATTCGAACGCGCATGTGTTTAGCAGAATATTTCGAATATTTCCTTTGCGCGAATTAATATCACATTGTGCGATTGCAAAAGGAATTACAGTTTCCCCCAGTGTCAGATGTGACAGTGCGAGAACATCTAATATCGTTTAATGTAACAACATGAAATTGCTACAGAGATATAATCTTTACCGCGCAATAAAATACAATTATCTCGAAGCAATCTAATTTTCTGTCATTAGTAGTAGAACGCGATAAAAATTGCCAGTAATGAATTAAACGATATTGAATTTCTCTTCTTGGGGTTTTTCTTTGAGTTTCGTCTCGAATCGAAGACTAAAACGCGGCAAAGTGTAAGACATTCATCGATATAGATAATGCAGTGACTTATAACCTTTTTAACAATGAATATCAGTCAATATTGGCTTCTCAAGAAAGAAAGAAAAAAACTGTTAAATAGTTAACAATTTAAAATGAAATATTAATTTCCTCGCAAATTTCTTGGAATTTCCATATTTATTTATGTAAAATGCATTCGTAGCGTAAGCTATTTCATTTAGCATTATCTTATTATCAGATAAGCTGAATTAGCATATTCAATAATACGTTCCGATAATAGATTATGTCAGATAATAGATCATGTCGTTTCAAAGTCGTATGAAGAGAGATAGAGAGAGAGAGAGAGAGAGAGAGATAGAGATAGAGATCAATGACAAACGAAACAAGTTCCTTTGTTAAAGATGTCATAACCGTGAAACTTTGATATTTATCACAAGCATTCTTTTCTCTCTCTCTTGACATCATTAAATTTCATAATAACGTACAAAATAATAAACACACAGAACGGAATATATAAATTCATTAAACCCTCAACAAAAATGTATTGATTAATTTCTGTCGTGTTTTACGATCTCCGCGTACAAAACCAGGCACAACGCGCAAGAATCGCTCTGCGTTTAATCGTGACGCAACGAAATGCGGTTTAATTATCATGCATTATCTACCAATTACACGAATGCGAATGTAGAAATCGTTCCCAGCAACGTGCGCTAAGCGCAGCGGCTTTCTCATAAAACCGTGAAAGGTCACCCTAGACGAAAAATCGCAATGCAAACCTTCTCTATATATGTATATAATTTTTATTTTTTATTTTTTTTTATTTATTTATTTTTTTTTTAATTGCAAACGCACGCGCGTATTTTTGCAAGAAATATCCGTATAACGTGACTGCTCGCGAACGAGAAGAAATTGTCGCGAAATAAATACACACACGTGAACACGTCGCGTTTTTTAACGTGCGCGATTTTATGGCTGCGTCGAGTCACAGCTTTTTCAATTTTCTCTCTACGTCAAATAACCGAAATAACCAATTCTGCAACAGCAATCAATCATGATCTTTTAACTATTTTCCAAGAAATAACGATGGAACAAATGTATCTATTTTTGCGCGAACAATGATTAAATAAACAGAGAGACAACGGTAAAAACAAAACAAAAATAAATGTCGGCGTTTTTGAGAAAACTAGTTTCGCGCTAGTAAATTATTACCAGTTAGTTTTACGCGCGTATGTATGTAATACTAAAAGTTATATACATATTTAAAAAAGAGAAACTTATGGTACAGAGTGAATCTAAACCTGCTATGTAATTTTTGAGATCGTTAGAGAAAGATATTTCAAATATAAATTCTCGTGTGTGTGTGTGTGTGTGTAAGTGGCAAACACAACAATGACGGACTTATACGAATATGAATAAGGTATTCGTCAGAATTATCAGACACATTGATATTCATTAAAGATACTACGTGATAATTATCTACTCACGTCATATTCATGATGTACGAGTTTCTATTTCGGTTCATTTTGCTCATATCAAGTATTTGATATGTAATCCACAGATGAGCTGGATCGAAACTCAATGAGCATATATATATACACGCACGTATATATACAGAAGTGTAAAATCTATTAATAAGAACGATGAGAGAGATTGCATATCTTTCCGCTCTTACGCTTTTTAATGTGTAGAAAAACGAAAATTGTGCGTTTTCTAGCTCTCAACATCTTTTCAGAAACAAATGTCGTTCTGGTATAAATAACTCTTATTTAAGAAAAATAAACTGAAAATATCTAATAATTTTCTGTATATTCTGTATATTCTGTATAATTTAATAATCTTGATTTCGAAACAGAAACACTTGCTGCTCGAAAACTAGATTTGCGAAGATAACGGAAGTTATGGGAGCAACATCAGTGCCGGAAAATTTTGCGCGCGTGATGATGTTTCAATTAAGTTCCGGATTTCCTGCGACAATTTCGTTAGACTCGACTAGGAGACATCGAATATAATTTATGATTTAATTACCAAACTAATTAAGATGTTAGATTAAAGGCGGGGAAGGTAAATAGAATAGTCAATTTAGATTAGTTTTTAAGAATGCTACTTTTGACGTAATCGTTCCCTCTGTGAATATCATATGTAATATTCTCATTAAATTTGTGTATGTATGTGTGTGTGTGTGTTTGTATTTCAATTACTTAATTTGAATGCAAAATTTGTGCGTGCGAAATTTATACATTATATTATATTTATTTTATACGCGAATACACCACCCAAAAAGTCATTAAATATATTTAATTTTAGTCTTCACTTCATATAAATTAAATATTAAAGTTTTATATGAAACTTCCAAACTTAGCAGTAGTAACCCAAAATGATCATTTCAACTTAAACCTTGATAAGAAACGTCTGAAGTAAAAATATCCCCTTTTTAAAAACCTGACAAGAGACTTCATTAGACAATAATATAGTATTTTACAGATAATATTATATAATTCTAATCTTTATAAGATGATAAATAATGATACAGCTATACACATGCTAGTTAAACATAATCGTGTGAACAAATTAAATTAAAAACACCGACTGTGTTGTTGTAAGTGTACAGGAAGTAATTCAAGCAGAAGAGTTTTTGAAAATATGCGAGTCAAATTTTCCTTGTAACGCGCGGCCGGAGCAAAAACCCGCTCTTAGCGTTGCAGCAGCTCCCTGGGTAGGTAGAGAGAGAGAGAGAGAGAGTTAGTTTACGTTTTGTGCTAATGGTTTATTGACGCGACCGACGCGTCCAAGTTTCGACGTTTCTTCGGTGTAAGAAGATTACAACATAACTTTGCTCCAAGTCGGTCGGTACGTCATCTACGTACATTTCTCCATCGCGACTTGGCGAGAGATACGCAACGGTTGACGCAATCCCGTTATGCTGCGAAACAATTCGAGATATTTCGTACCTTCAAAATGAGATTGGCGTGTATCGGAATATCAGAATATCTAGTTTACGGAGAGCAGCGAAATTAAACGTGTTTATCCTGCGCCGGAGAGAAATCTCGCGTTTTTTGTGATAAAATTTATTAACGGAATCAATGTCCGGAGATCTATTTGTCGTTTCTATACAACATGGAGAATTAATTATTTAGTAGAAGATAAAAAGCTCTCTTTCTTTCTCTCTCTCATTCTCTATCTAGGTCTATATATAAAATTTTTCATTATATTTTATTGTACAATACCGAGAATACGAGTCAATGAAAAAGCGGAAGAAGAAAAAGAGCAATATTAATTGGTTTTGTTTCGCGTTCGACAATACACAAAAGAAACGAATATTTTTCAAACGTTTTGTGACCTCTTTTTTATTTTATTATTCTGATATTGTTTTTATTGTTTCGCACTTTTAGAGCATTGGCTTTTGAGTGGCGCCGATCTCATTCTGAACACGCGATTTATCAGCGGGGGACAGCGATATCCCCGGGTTTCCATTTAATCACACGAGTTGTACACGAGTTGTGCGCCATTTTTCTTATACGAAGACGCATGCTTCCTTCCTATCGTCAATTCCTACGGAAGAAACGTGTTTCTTTTTCTGAATTAAGTGCTCGTGCAATGAACAACGCTCGTCAATTTAAGTAACCGCGTACTTTTCGTTGCATGTGCCCAAAGCGTATTTCAACTAGAATTTCGCTTTTTTGTATATATCCGTAAATTTTAACATTTTTAAATAAATAACAATACAAATTGATGTATCTGCACATCATATGTTATATTTTTAATTCCATTAAGTAAATGCACGTTTTTTTTTTTTCTACTGAATACGATTTGTCTTTCTCAATTATGTGTATTTATCTGTTTATTATTTATGATATGAGTCTGCAAGCCAAGTGCGATCGCATATTCATGAATGATTCAAAACATGTCGGTTATTAATTCCACTGACCGTCGTTTATTTACGTGCAGTTGTCAACTCGAAAAAAATTCACGTCACGTCTTGTTCGAACTCGTATTTTAGTTTTTTTTTTTAAAAAAAACTTCCGTCATAAAATACATCACTGCATACGTACTAAATATATATTTATAAACATACAATAAAAAAAAAAAAAATCATTGTGTCGCAGCTATAACAAAAAAAAAAAAAAATTCAATAAATCAAAATAAGAGCAACAATGACCGCATTGCGAATGATTCAAGCTAGCGCGTGCGAATTTTCGCCAGAGTTTTATATGAAAGCAAATGAAAGAAATTTTTATTAAAAAAAAAAAAAAAAAAAACCAAAAGAAAACAAAACCATGTCGTTTGCAGTATCTTCGTTAATTAAGTTATTTTGTGTGGACTTCACGTACCTCTTTCGTTGACGGCCCATTGCCTCGAAAAATTCCCAAAGGTCCGCATGGTCGTCCCAATGACGTCGAAACCCGACACGGGTGTTCTCTCCCTTGAAGCTCTTTTCCCTTGCGCGTGAATATCACACAGCTGCTGTACACAGCCGGCTCGCTTGCTACACACCGAAGCTACAGGCTGCTACCGAATGTACGAACGATTCGCACGCGCGATCTCACGCACACCATCACAACACGTGCATACGACTTGCACACGGAATCCACTGGCGTCAAGAAGTGTGGAAAGATGTCGTGTCTCAGAACCGCGCGATTGTCGTCATCGCCGATCTCTCTCTCTCCTTGCCTTGTTGTCGTTTTATACCGCAGAGAAATTGCGTCACGTAGTCGCCTTGTGAATCGTCCTGTATCGCTCGAGAGAGATCCCTCTTCCTTAAACCTGTTCAAGGGCAGACACACACTGCGTAGTACGAAAAAAAGGACGCTACCCTACTGCGAGTTTATGAGCGCGGGTCGAGCAGAATTTTTCCAACCACAACACGGTGAATGTTATTCTTTGTTTCTGACTAGTATCGACTCGATTTTGTTCTCTTTTTTCCTCGTGTAATTATCTTTCGTTTAAAAATGATTTAAAATTTTTTGTCGATATTAATATAATTCTTTTTTCGTAATCTCTTTTTGATGATTATTTGGTGAAATAAATATATCTAAGGTAGTACACTCTTATTTGTATTCGCATTCTGGCAATATTATGTTATTATTCAAAGCAAGATACGCGATATATCAAGGTTTTTATTTGTAAACGAAAAATAAATTTTTGTTGATGAAAAATAAAAGAGAGAGCGAAGCAAATCTTTTTGTTCTAGACAGTGTGTCGAGAGATTTTTTTTATTCTAGAAAGTGTGTTGCGAGAGAATTTTAAGTTTACCAGAGAGTTCAGTCCGAAAAGAAGTTGGAAAAACTCTTGATTTCGACCACAGTTGGTGAAACTACAAAGACGTGAGAGGTTAGCCGTCAAAGATTGACTCTCGTAATCGAGAGAGAAAGAGAGCGTCTGATGCGAATTCAGATATAGTTGGGTCGATTGATTTCTCGCGATATCCACACCGGTGAGAATCGAAAGATTAGAAATCGATCGTTCGCGCGGATATGAAATGCGAATTGGCCTCGGGCCAAACCGATAATCGCGAATCGATCTTTTCGTAAGTTACTCAAAGAACGGTGGTGGTGAAGTTATGCGCAGTTCCGCGCGCAACGTGTATCCGATAAACCACGAAAATAATCTTTCATTTCCGACTTTCACAAAACTTATCGGAATAATTTACGATCGACTCTGTGCAATAAAGTTGAGAGAGAGAGAGATAGGGAGAAAAAAATAAGATAATTAGCGTTAAAATGTCTAAAAACTAACAAATGAGCTTTAGAATAAAAAATCAAATGTCAAAATGAAAAAAAAAAATCTAACAAAGAGTCAACGATCTCTTTTGCATTTTACTTGTTTAAAGTGTCAATAAACATTTGGAAAATAAAAACACTTTCAAGCAAACAAATAAGTTCACCTTGGAACACACAGAAGGTTCAAGCAGAAATAATACTAAGCGAACAAAATATGCGTCACAAAAACATGTCACAAAAATACAAGAATGTACACACATGCACAACACGTACCAAATCCGAAGCGATTAAAAATTACCGCCGCTGTCGCACCAGTATATTCAAAACTCTTGTTCCGGTAATATTTCCTTGAACGCGCGCGATGCGCGATCGATTCAGGTTCCAAAAGTGAAAAATCCACGTGAAGTTTATAAAAAAATCTGTAGAGTGTTAGAGAGATTCTCGCTTTTACACTCTCTGTATGTTTCGAGAAGTTGTCTCAACGGCGTCTCGCGCGCGACTGCGAAGCGACGCTAACGGAACTCGATCGCGGGCTTCGTTCTACTACGGGAGATCCGTAATCGTCTTTCCGTCGATTTTCTTGGAAATGCGATGCGAACCGAAGATGCCGGCAGGTGACACGTTTTCGCTCGAGAAGCGCGGCACGATATACTCGCCTATCAATGATTCGCGTTACACCGACGAGGACCCTCGACGCGACTGGGCGGAGCAAAGCAACGCACGCGGACCAAGTTACTTCGCCGAAGACTCACGCTCGACTGTGCGGCTCGCGCTACCGCCGGCCGTTCTTCAACCCTCGGCTCTCGTGTCACGGAGCCTATCGAAGAGTGCGAGAGCTTCTCTCTCTTATGCGGAAGGGCTGTTCCGAGGGACTAACGTTTGAAACAAAACGTAGGGCAGTGGAACATACGTTATTAAGGTCAGTGTCTCTCAAATCAGCCTTCTTTTCAACGAAGAACGCATTACGGAAATAAAATATGGAAAGTAATATAGGTATTCAAACGAGATAAAACGCGTATGAATAAAGATAAAGTTTTTTTTTTATTTTAGATACAATTAAATATACGCATACAAAACACGAATGTAAAACAAACTCGTACTGTTCAATATGTATGAGACAAAGATAATTTATTGACTAAATTTTGGTCGATACGTTATTTCGACTAATAATATTCTGTTTTGACCGACAATTTGACCACACATTATATATATATACATATATGTTGTTTCTCTTACATTCCGACACGCACACAAACGATAAAAGTTATACATTTTAAATGTATGTGCGTGCGGAATGCCTTAAATAACTTATTTTTTATTTTATTTACTTATTTTTTATTTTATTACTACTATTTTATTTTTGTTCAGTATATCTGTTTGTTCTTCTTCAAGCTGTGTATATTGAAGAGGAGTATGTTTACGAATTGTCCGCGATCGTATAATATAAAATAGCGTGTATTGTTGACTGTCACAGCAAACGATTCTAAAAATAAATAAAATTCAAAACGAAAGTGTTCGCGTAAAACTGTAACTGCCCTATAGGTTTATAAAGTTTTTGTTTATTTTGTTATGGATATGACCGGTGATGATATAGAGTACATTTTTGAGATATATCGTGTAGTGGTATTAAAGATATAAATCGAAAATATTTAAACTTCTTCACAGACTAGAAGCCTTTGTTTTTTGTCTCCATCATATTTTAATCTTATCGTACACTAAAAAAAAAACATATTTTGTATACACACGTGTTTGATAAGTTTTATACCGCTCCAAGAAATAATTTAATCTTTCGACTGTAGACATAAAAAAAACCTACGAGAATTGCAGACTGGATCTGTGAGACCCACGCAACTTTAAGAAATAAGGCCATAAGAACCGTTTGCAGGATGTTGTGCAGAAACATATGTATATACAGGGTGTCCCAGAATTGGTGTGACATCTCTCGTAGGCAAGTAAAAGGAGTAAAACTGAGTCGAAAAGTCCTGAACTATTTTTTTCTATTATTTATAATAAAGGAGTAATTGTTGAGTAAATCAGGCCAATCAGCGCCGACCTTTAGCCAGGTCACGTCAATGAGCCACGCGCCTGTTGTGTGTGAGCGCTCCGCGCGGTTCACTGATTCAGGACTTTGACTCAGTTTTATTCCTTCTACCTGCCTACGAGAGATGTCACACCAATTCTGGGACATCGTGTATATGTATACACATATGTAAAAAAAACTTATTTTTTCGAGAAACGTTTTTCGATACGCAATTTTGAGTGGGTCTGAAAAACCCAGTCTACGGATGAAGAGTTAAATGCGTTAGATTTCTTGTACTCTTGTGTTATTATGTGAGCATCTTTATCTTATTAGTATATACTTATACTAATATATTACTCTTTTATTAATTATACTAATATACTAATCTCTCTTATTAATTATACTAATATACTAATCTCTTAAATATATTAATATACTAATCTCTTATTATAAGAGATTATAAGTAGCAGAACATGGATTACTTTTACGACGATAAAGCCTCTTGCACAATGCGAGGGAATAGTGATAGCAATAAGCAATAGACACAGAATTCCAACTCGTTGGAAATTTTATCGCTATTGCTTATTCCGATTTTCTGATCTGCATTGATACATGTGTAGTTTTGTATGTTAGATTCCGCTGTTCCTACCTTTATTTTTAAATATAAACTCTTTAAAACTTTTGTTATTTCTATCGCTATCGCTATTCCGTCCATTGTGCAAGGGGCTTAACATACAATTTAATGTAACAATGAATTTTGATAATGTTTTCATAATTCTTGTTTCATAACGGGGAGGACATAACAACACGCTTATACATCATCTAACAATACAATTTAAAATCTATGTAAAGACATATATATATATATATACGATCATGACTTGCCGCATTAATTAAAGTCCGAGTGCCGAAATGACGTTTTCGGCAAGCCAACTGAGATTTTGTAGTAGAACTGACGAGTAAAATTTTAATTCCCATGGAACTTTTCAGATGTATGCAAAGTGGCGCGAGAGATGTAAGTTCAGCAAGTTTTCATTTATCCGTGAAAATGGATTTCAAAGATGGCACCATCACCCTGCGAATGTAGATTCTTGCTTTCGCATCTGCAAATTGAAAACTTAATAAAAAAAAAAAAAAGTTGACTTAAAATCAGCAGATAGACCCGCATAAATTATCCGACTTCACTTGTTTTGCATCGTTATGCAAAACTTGTTATTTACTGTAAGATCGATTATTCTAGCATCAATCTCGATATTATTTTTCTAACTGCTTTTTAACGACAATTTGTTATATATATATATATATTTATTTATTTATTTATGCGTACATATCGAAATGTATATTAAAATAGATATTCAGAATGGTTTCCTCGCATTCTCAGAAGAAAATCAAAATTTAAAACTTTATATTATTTTAAGTACTACACTTTTACTAATATTTTAAAAACTAATTTTTGTTTAAAATATATTTTAGTACGAAATTATATCGGGGGACTATTTGAAATATAAGGAACAAACGGTGTTCTTGTATAATCAAATGTTTCATATCGAGTGTAATATTAAATTCAAATATTTTATTTTAGTATGTGCGAGAAAAGATGGATTATACGTCATACAAACATGTCTCTACTAGTATATATAATAAAAAGTTTTTAAAAGGTTTTAAACATTACTTTCCACGGCAATAGCTTTAGTATGTTTTATTGAAAAAAAGATAAGATATGATTCACTTTTTGAATGTTAATTCTTTAATTACTACATATATATATATATATATATAGGACAAGTGATATAACCGGAAAAGAACTGATCAAATGTATTTTGATAGTTATAATAAATATAAAAATACACTATTCTTCAGTTTCATTCACTAAATAAAGCAACTTAAAATTTTAAAATTATTAATAAAATTATGTATTTAGAATAAAAATTCTGTAAAAACTTTGTAATATTTTAGTTTCTTTGAATGTAATATTTTAGTTTCTTAAATCAATATATTGATATAATAATTATTGATATATATAATTATTGAAATGTGTATATAGTATACACAAGATTATATTATAAATGAATTGGGCGTAACAAAAAGTAAATATAATTGTATTAATGTTTTCAATTTTGTAAATCCCGATGTTTTCGAAAAGCAAACCTCGTGTGAAAATGTTTCGTTCTATCATATATTTTCGACTTATTTTTACACCATATAGAATCATTGCATTTCCGATCGTACTATATAGTCATTTCCTGCTATACCTTGCTTATAAATATTTTCTATAACACATGTACTTTTATTTCAATTCTTTTACATATATACCATTCACTGTTCACTCCGATATAATCCGGACATTATTGCGTTTCCAACGAAACTCAGAAATGCAAGAGACAGCTTTTTAACGTTTTTATATATCGCGCGGTGATTTATGGCGCCAGACGGGAATAAAAAGTGCGATCACCCGCAGATAAAAAAAAAGCCGTTGAAATGAATTATCTTTTGGATAAACTTCAAACAAATGTCCAACTATCTGACATCCTCATATAAAACGTGCAGACCGCCATCACGAATATCTCACAATTGGACGACGTGAAATTTCAAATTAATTCTTTCTCTGCCGTTTCATTTAATTTTGCCGCTCATGCCACCAGTCGGTTATATTCTCGACGCTAAAAAGGACGAGGACAGACGTTTCGTTTGCGTTGGAAAGTATCCGCCGCGGCGAAAGCAAAGGCTGCTGCCGCACGTTAAGTTCGCGGAAGCAGATCGAGCAACTTTGTACAGTGTACGTACTGTGAGTATACCGGACTTTCCACGATTTCCTCCAATTGGAATTGGCAATGAAGGCACCACGAGAAAGCTGTGTGCGGAGACAAAGCGACATGTAATTAATTCACCAAACGGGAAGTACATAGAGTATATAAAAAAACGCAGGTGTAGTCGTGTAGAAGAGGCTACTAATGATGTATTGAGGAAGGAAGAAAGACATACCTAGACAAAACAAGCTTAACATTGAGAATGTTTTGCGGAAAAACGACAAAAGATTGAGGTCGTGTTTGCTGCATTTCAAAGATCATAGAGAGTTTTCTCTTCTCTTCTCTTTTCTTCTCTTCTC